AAAACATCACATTAGCTGGGAGGGATGTGGCAAAGGTGCCTTGGATTTTTCAGAATGATCCCGATAACAAGAAAAGAAGGTTTTGTAAAAGGAATATCCTTTGCTCAGACCACGTCTGCCAGTCTGATGCTCAGAAAATATGGTCCCTATAATTATGGCAAACAGAGTACATCGTCTGAAGTATATTTCAACTGCTAAAGGCCAGGACTAGCTTTTCTGCCCTTTTCCTGTGGGTTACCAAGCTGTAATACTTAGACTTATTCTCAGATGTCTTGTAATTTCTTAGGACAGTGGAACATGGGGAAATATGGGGACATCTCCGATTTCTCACTTCCTCTCTCCTTCCCCCCTTCCTCTGGCCTGTCACCTCAGTGATCAAGGCTGGTGCACTGTGTTCTTTCCTGTGTTGTTTCTCAAACAGAAAGGAGGAAGTTCTTGCAAAAATCAATAAACACAAATGCCTCATGGGACTGGGTATTCTGGCTAATCCCGGTCCTCTAGGGGAATGCACTTCCCTGTTCCCTGTACAGTGCAAGGCAAAAGATTTTTTCCTGCAAAAGGCAATGGAACCATTTCAAAGTATCTTCACAGATAGCTTGTCTGCTTTCTAAGGGGATTAAAATATAAAAGGAGGTAATATAACTCATGGTGCTTTATAATCTATAAAGCATTTGACTCAATAATTTTGTGAAATAGGTAATATATATGTGCATACCTATTTCACAGCTGAGGAAAGTGAGGCTCAGGGGGACCAAGTAACTTCTTAGGGTCATACAATGAGTGTCAGCGGCGCTGTGACTAGGCTAGGCGAACAGGGACTTCACCTCAGTGTGTTAAAATGAAAAGATGGCGACAGCGCCCATACTCTTCATCTGGTAAAAACAAAGTTCGGCATCTATTTAGCAAAAGAAATAGCTGCAGAATAGTCTGACCTCTGACCCAAGTTGGCTGTGTGTGACCTTGGTCAGGTCACTTACCTCAAGGTCCCCCCCCCTCAGGCAGCTCTCTCTAAGACTGTTAATCTGTAGTGCAGGTGCTGATTTGCATTGCTAGAGAAGTTTCCTCACTGAAAGTTCCTAGACTGTTGAAATTGTGGGGCCGGCCCAAAAAAAATTAAATGGCCACGACCCAGATGAGCTCCTCTCTGCCCTGGAAGCAGCTTCACTGTGTTCTTCCCCCCATAAGGCAACGTTCAGGGTCTCTCCTCCTATGGGGTCTTTTGTTCCAAGGTTCCTTCCCCCAGAAGAATTTATCTTCACCTCAAGCATGTTTCTCTGTGGTGAGAACTGTTAGTTTCACACTTTGGTTCTAAGTGTCAGAGCCAAAGCTCAACTTCCAGTTCCTCCTTATTCCAGGTCAATGCTCTTTCCTCTGGACCAGGTTGCTTTTTGGAGAGTTTTTAATAGTAAAAAAAAATAAAAACAAAAACAAAGTTATAGAATACATACATACATGCATACATACATATATATATACATATACATATATATATATATATATATATATATATATGTAAAAATATATAGAAAGAACACAAGCATCAGAGTCAGGTTATCTGGGGTCCAGTCTACCAACTAGCTGTCTGATGGCAGACAAGTCACACAGCTTCTCTGGGCCTCAGTTCCTCATCTATAAAATGAGGCCATTGGATTGGATTTCCTTTGAGGTCCCTTCTAACTCTAAATCTGTGACTTTCTCTCTTTTAGCTCGACTCATTCTCCTTCAACCTTTTCTCAAGTTCCTCCAAATTTCTCCCTTCTAAATTCAATCTCTGGCCTTTCTGGCAAGTCCAAAGTCCTCTGAATCATTTTTTCAATTTCCTTCTTCTGAATCACCTCAAATGCTTTTTTTTTTTTTGACATTTTTTATTAATTTATTTTGATTTATCAACAATCACTTACATAAGCATTTGAGTTTTAAATTTTTCTCCCCCTCCCTCTCCCCCTTCCTCCCTAAGACAGCATGAAATCTGATATAGGCTACACATATACATTCCTATTAAACATATTTTCACATTAGTCACATTGTAAGGAAGAATTAGAACCAATAGAAGGAACCACAAGAAAGAGGAAACAAAACAGAAGAAAAAAAAGAGCAAATAGTATGCTTCAATTTGCATTTAAATTCCATAGTTCTTTCTATGGATGTGGATAGTATCTTCCATCATGAGACCTTTGGAGATGTCTTAGATCCTTGCATTGCTGAGAAGGGCTAAGTCTATCAACGTTAGTCATCGCACAATGTTGTTGTTACTGTCAAATGCTTTTCTTTATGTTTCCATAGTTTCTGTGATGGAAAAAAGTCATCCTTGACTCTTCCCTCTTCCTCATCCCTCATTCATTTAGTTACACTGATTTGCTGATTCTGTCTTTATGTCTCTTGAATAAGTACCCTTCTCTGCACTTACTTAGCAATGAGTTATAACTAGGATGGGACAGCTGGGATTTTGGCCCTAGGAACTGACATCCAGGAGGGGCATACATTTTCCTCTGGTGGTTTAAGAGTAGAGGTATCTAATACACTGCCCTTGGGCACACGCCAACAGATTAAACAGATTAACATGCAACTTAACAAGATAAAAACATAGTAAAAACAGAAATAATGTTAATATGTCTTTCTAAGTCAATATGCAGCTACCACAACATCATCTTCCAGCAGGCACCTAAAGGAAGACTGGAGGAGGTGGGCCCCAAAGGGAGGGTGAAGGAGTGGGGTTTGGGGCCAGCTGAGACCAGAAGTAAGAAGGCTGGACAATCTCTTCTATCTTGAGTGTCTTCTGTGCGTCTTTGCCACTACTCACCCTCAACTGTCATCTCTGCTGCCGCTCCCCAACTGCTTCTCCCAAATGTTTTTCCTCAAGTCAAAAACTGTCCAGTAATATTTTTAACAGTCACTATCCTAGTACAAATCTTCATCACTTCTAGCCTGGACTACAATTCCAGCCTTCTAATTTATGTCTGTGTTCCCAGGTTCTCCCATCTCCCAACTGATCCTCCACCTAATTGCTAAGATAACCTTCTTAAAAATCTGTGGCTCCCTGTTGCCCACAGGTTAAAATACAAATTCCTTTGCCTGGCATTTAAGGCCTTCTCTCTCCTCCCTACACACAACTGATTTTGTGCTGCCTTCTAGCCAAATTATATATTCCTTGAACTCCCTTGCTCCATCTCGGTCCTGTATTCAAAAGTCATCCCCATAATCCCATGCCTGGTTTGCACTCTTCTTATTTCTACCTCTCAGAATCCTTCTTTTCTAGTCTCATCTTGGGTACCCCTTCCTCTGCGAAGCATCCCCTCAGTTGTTCATATTCTTTCCTTTCTCAATTTTTCCTCAAGTATGCACTTACTTTAAAATGTTATTTCCTTCTAACAGAGTATAAACTCTTAAAGTGATAAAACTTTTCCAGGGTGCACTCTTGACTCAGGTCCAGAGGAGTTTGTCTAGCATGCTATGGAAGCTCTTCATTCTGAAAGCTTACTTCACCCCTGGATTACTTCTGGCGTTGCAAACACTCTCATTCCCAGTGGCTTCTCCCAGAGCTTCCATTTTACAGAGGTGGCCCAAGACAACTATTTCTTCATTCCTTTCCAGCCTGAACTCTTGATTCCCTCCATGCCTTTGTCTCTACCCTCCCTTCTCCTCAGCTCCCACTTCCGGGCTCCCTTCGGCCATTAGAACGTAAAGTTTTTGAGGACAGGGGATGGCCTTTTGCTAGTCTTTGTCTTTGTGCCTGGTACATAGCTGGTTCTTAAAATGTTTTTGACTTGAATCCCTCTTTTGTGAAGGGCTTAAAAAGCCAAACAGGATTTTATATTTGATCGTGGGGTGCCACTGTTAGTAAGCATGGAGGGCGTGGGGTCAGACCTGCCCTTTAGAAAGATCACTTTGGCAGCTGAGTTGGGGAGACACTTGAGGCTGGGAGAACAACCTGAAGCTATGGCCACGGTCCAAGTGATGCCAGTGGACATGGACAACAAGGGGTTGGTTGTTCTTGGAGAATCCACAGCCAACACCCAGGAGCCCGAGCGAAAATAGGAAGATGGGACACGGACGATAGCCTACACAGGAGACCTGGGAAGCAGTGGGATAGGAGCTGGCGGTCAAAAGACACGGGAGGAGAAAGTGTCCAGGGGGAGGGGGTGGACAAGGCGCAGAGGGGTCAATGGCCTTCAATAACGCCTGGACACCTTTCTAAGACATCAGTGACGTCACACCGGTCCGACGTGATATCACACCCCGGCGCTTAATAGCCCAAGCCGGCCGGCTTCCCTGGTGACGGGCGTGGTGGCGGGAGTGGGCCTAGTCAGGCCCGATGATGTCACACTGAGCCTCGGTGACGTGACGTCACACAGCTCGGGCAGTTTCCGGATCGGCCCCCTCCCCCCTTCAGAAGGCGAGTCCCGTCAGAGTGACCACCGCGGGCTCTGCGGTGAGAAGGCGCAGGCAGGCCGGCCCCACGCCCTAGACACCTAACTCGATCCACGCTGGCTCCCCACGGAGGCCCACACGATCGCCATCGCAGGATGCCCACAGACACAGACGGCTGCATCATGGCGGCGCCGACGCCGGCGGGCACTTCCGCCTCTGTAGGTGTCATGGCGGCGAGGGGCGGGCTCTCAGCGAGTAGTTCCGGCCTGGCGGGGCTGGGCCGGGGCTGGGCTTGGGCTGGCTGGCGGAATGGGGGCGGCCGCTCGGCATTCGGCTGGCTGGGCCTGGCGGCGGTGCCTGCAGAACGAGGGGCCCGGCTGTGGCCCCGGACGGGCGGAGCGGGAGGTCGAGGCGGGAGCGCGGGGCTGAGGCCGCGGCGGCGGCGGCGGCGGGAAGAAGCCGGAGCCGGAGCCGGAGCCGGGGCCGGGGCCGGGGTCGGGGTCGGGAGCGGCAGCGGCGGCTGAGGCGGCGGCGGCTCCCCGCCTCCCCCCGGGACGGGACGGGACGGGCGGGCGCTGGGGCGGCTCCGGGGGGCGGGGGCCCGGGGCCCGGGCCGGCTCGGGCGGGGGGGATCATGACCCGGCGGCGGGGCCCCGGATCTCTCGGCCTCCGCCTCCGCCTCCTGCTCCTCCTGGCAGCCCCAGCCCGCGGCTGAGACCCAGACCCACCGGCGGTGAGTGCGGGCGGGGGGCTGGCGGGGGGCGCCCGGGCCCGGCTCTGTTGGGACTCGCTCATCTCGCGGGGGTGCGGGGCGCCGGGGAGCCCTGGGCGAGGTGCTGACCCTCCCTCGAGCGCCGGGGCCCCCCATCCACCCGTGGGGCGGCCCCGCGTCCCTGCCCGTGGGCGGCCGGGGGGCTGGCGGGCGGCGGGGGCGCGCTCGGGGCTGCCTGGTCCCCCTGGTCCCCCTTCCCCAACTCCTGGCTCCGGCTCGCGCTCCGGGCGAGGGCGGGGAGGGGAGGGGAGGCCCCTGTGCCTGGCAACGAGCCCTCGCCTCCCTCCGGTTTGTTGTGGTAACAGACCCAGCTGCCGGCCTGGGCTGGCCCTGGCGCTCGTGGGGTTCCCCCGAGTGGGTGAGGGTAGGGGCGGAGGCCGGGAAGGAGAGCAAATCACCCACCCCCCCCCGGGGTCCTTCCCCGACTCGGGCCACTGAGTCCCATGTCACTCATCTGGGGGCAGAGCAGCATCACGTTTTCCATCCCAGATGATCTCATGGACTGGAGCCACCTTGGGAAGCATCAATTAGAGCGACCGAAGTACCGAGGCCTTCCCCTCACCCCCACTCCCAGCCTCCATCTCCCCTCTTAAAGAAAAAACAACAACAGAAAACCAACCCATCTGTTATCTTTCTGAGGACCGTGTCAGAAATAGAGGCTTCTTGCTAGCCGGAGAGAATGGCATGAGGAGATAGAACCCTCCAAATTTCCTCCCCTCAACCTAGTGCAGTTAAATTATGTGACTGCTGCTTTCTTGGCCAGCGTAAGACCTACAATTTTGCCCTTGTTTACGTAAAAGTTATTTTTGATTCCTGACTGCCTTCAGTCCCCGTCCCCCCCCAAGATTGCTGAGGATAACCAAGGACGACTTTACCTGCTTGTTGATTGCTCTCAGGTCTATACCAGACCAAAGCTTTGAGGAAAATGTTTTGAAATCAACTTAACATTGTCTTTCACAGTTACTTTTTCAGCCTGACATCTAGTCACTTGAGCTGATCTATGACCAAAGCTCTGTAAAATTCTTTAAGTCACTGAACAGTTTGCATTTGCTAGAGGGAGCTTCCTTCCCCGGGAGTTCCCTATACAAAGGCTGAAATTACATCCTACCAAAAAAAGTATGATGCAGATTGTTATTGATTTTTGAGAGATAATGATGAGATTTGGTTTTGAAGAACTTTTGCTAGGATGGCTTTTGGAAGCAGGGGTCTGCAGGTTAATAAAAGATTTTATTGGTAAAATTGAGAACTTAATGCCTCATAAACAAACAGGCTTTTAATGGCAGAGTATTCTTGTGTGTATATGTGTGTGTATATACATATATATATATATATATATACACAAACACACATACACATACCTTAATGATGGTATAGCTCTTATCATTCTCTGGGCTAACTGGTTTTATTGATTTTAGGACAAGTTGATTTGTAACATGAACTCAAAATCAAACCAGAATTCCCCATTCCCCTTCCCTTTAAAGATAACTTTAAAGTTCACATAACACTAGAACCCAGAACCTTTTATCCTATGATTTTGTGTTTTTTTGAGCACATCTAGTCTAATGGTGCGTAAGTATAAACAGTGAACCAGACCAGCCTGTTTAAATGTCTCATAATTAGTATTTGTGTAACTTTTGGTAAATGTTATACATTGTTGCAGGGCCCTTGTGGTATTGTGACCTCTTGAGTCGGGTTGCAACATACCTTTTCATCCTTCTCTCTATATAGTCTGTTGCCTTGCACATGTCCTACTCTCTGTGACCTACCTGCCCTCTGCATGTACAGCAAGAGCTGCTTTCTTCTCTCTCCCTCCCCCATCCATGATGTCCTACCTAGCCTTAAAGGCCTACTTGTAATGCCACACATCTCTCTCCCCATGAAGCTGTTTCCTGATTTCCTCCCAGCCAGTTGTGATGTTGCTTTTTTCTCTAGCCCCAGTGCTTTGCACATAGGCACTTGAATATATGTTGAATTGACTCATTTAGATAGAGTTCATAGCTCTTTATATTAAAGCAGAACACAAGTTCTTTCTTATCCAAGGATGATTTTTAAAGCAACCATTCACTGATGTCCAGGCCTGTTAAATTGGGAGACACTTGAAAGAGTCTGACCACATTTTCATTTGCCCCCTTCTCTCCACTCACATAGAGCTACCATCTTATTCCAGGCCCTCATCCCCTTTTGCTTACATTATTTTAATAGTCTCCTAAATGGCCTCCCTGTTTAAAGTCCTTGTATTTCCAACCCATCTCACATATGGCTACCAAAATAATTATCCCAAGTCACAGGTCTGACAGTGTCATTTTTCTGCCCCAAAGCCTTCAGTGGTTTCTTACTGACACTCAGCTAAAATGCAAACACCTCAACCTGGCATTTAGGACCCTCCACAGACTGGCTCTAGCCTACTTTCCAGCCTTCCCTTATAATTACTCCCCTTTATACATTCTACGTTCTAGCAGAACTGGTCTGCCAGGCAGCCCATCTTCTGCCTGCCTTTTCATGAGCTGTCTTCATGCCTGGAATATATGCCCTGCTCATCTCTACCCCTCAGAATTCTTATCTTCCTTCTAGGCTCAGCTCAGGTATGTCACCTGGGGAAGCCTTCCCTGATTTCCCACCAGTTATTAGTACTTTTTCTCAAATTACTCTTTGTTTTTAATTAGGTACCTGTATCTCTTCCACTCCCTCCTTTCCCCCCATTTGAGCTTCTTGTGAAGAAGGCCTTTTAAATTTTCTTTCCATCCTCTTGGGATTGTTCCCTCCTGGGAGGGAGTAAGTATTTATATAGCTCCTATGATGTGCCAGGCATTAAGTGCTATCCTTGAAACAACCCTGCAAGGAAGATGCAGTTATTATCTCTGTTTTACAGTTGAAGAAACTGAGGCAAACAGGTTAAGTGGTTTGCCTAGGGTCACATAATTCATAAGTGTCTGAAGTCAGATTTGAACTCAGGTCTTTCTGACTTTAGGCCCAGAGCTCTGTTCACTATACCACCACCTGCTTCATGCATATGGCCTTGTACATAGTAGATACTTAAAAAATCACTTACTGCCCAAAGTCACATATAGAATAAATGTCAGGTCCAGGTTTCAGACTCTTTCTTTTTTCCTGACTTAAATCCAGTTTTTCTTCTACCATGCTATCAGTCCTCTTACATTTATGTTAATTTGTATCATAGTTACATACTATCTTATGTGCCTCAGAGATACTGTCCAGTGCATATAGCAGGTGCTAAGTAAATATTTGCAAACAATGGTATTAGGATCTTTGGGATTTTAAGCTTCTTTTGTTGGTCATATACCTGTCCTGTCTATGGTCATCTTTTGGATTGGACTGCTGTCGTGTATCTCTCCCTTTCTCTGTCCTCCACCTTCTCCTTTAATCTTTTCCTGTCGCAACATCTGGGGTAATTTTACTCAGGTACTGCTCAGTCATTTCCTGAGTCTGAGGTTTCCATCAGCTGGTGATCCTGCACTCCTCATTTTGTGTCTTAATTCAGTATACTTAGTTGTGTGTTTTCTGATTGTTTCATGTGTCTAGGTGTCTCCTTAACAAAGTTGTACTGCTTTTGTAATCACTGGAAGTATTTATTAAGTGACCATTTTGTGCTAGGCCTGATGATACAGAGACAAAATAAACAGTTCCTATTCTCAAGGATCTTAGGATCTATTGAAAGCAAACAATATGTACACATTTAGGGAAATCCCAAAATGTGGTCAACAAGTGTGTGTTAAGCCTTACCTGCCCTTTGCCATTGTTATTGCTGGGGCTACACAGAAGGGCAAAGATGTAGTTCCTGCCTTCAAGGAGCTCACTTTTTAGTAGCAAAGACAACAGGTAACATACCTACCTTACAAGATCCACATAGTTTAAATCAGAGGAAGGCCCTAGATGTGTGTTGGGGGGCGGGGTACCAGGAAAAGCTTTCTGCAGGAGATGGGATTTGAACAAAGTCTTCAAAGAAGCCAAGAAAGAGGTGAGGAAGCAGAGCATCCCAGGTACCAGAGGAGTTGGTGGGCTCAGATAGTCAGTGAAAAGGTACCAGATCAGGTATTAGAGTGTCCTGTGTGAGGAAGTGCAAAGGAGACAGTGTAGCTGAATCATAGAATGAATGGAGAGAATCAAATGGAAGAAGGCTGGGAAGAAGGCAGTAAGGGGACAGGTTGTGAAGGGCTTGGAATGCCAGATGGAGGATTTGATAGTTGATTTTGGAGGTGAGGTCATATAGGGAGGTGCTAGAGCTCATTGAATGGGAGTAGGGCAGTGACGTGGTTAGACATGCATGTTGGGAAATACATGCAAAGTAATTTCCAGGGGAGGGTACAAGTCTGAGGAGAAGGGCAATTTGTTAGCAATAGAACAGGGGTCTAGAGGGACTCTGAAAGGATAGAGTCTAGAAACCAGCACACCTTGCTAGAACCTAGTGTGATCAGTGAGAACCAGGGCCTGCCACCAACTGTTTACCTTTGGTTTAGTAACCTCTGCTGAGGTTTCTTCATCTGGAGGATGAAGGGACTGGACTAGATAGGAGTTCTTAACCCTTTTTGTGTCATGGGCCTCCCTGGCAGTCTGGTAAAGCTTATGCACCTTTTCTCAGAATGTTTTTAAATGCATCAAATATATATGATTACAAAGGAAGCCAATTAAAATACAGTTGTTAAAATATTTTTGAAAAATTCATGGACCCCAGGACTAGGTCTCTCAAACTTTCTTTCTGCTCTAAGAATTCTATGAATCTGTGAGTTTTTTACCTCATGCATCTCTTATCCCACTATTCTTCTGCCAGCATTCTCTGATCCAGCCAAGTAAATCTCTTGCTGTTCTTTATTTTCCCTCCTTCCATTTCAGTTTACATATCTCTGCTTAGTTCATGCTTTCAAAACTGCCTCCTTCTTCCTCTGCCAAACTGTTGGAACATTACTTAAATTCTCTCTTCCTTAGGCCTTTCTAGATTGATCTGG